TGGAGTCGGGATGTGATCTTCACGATGGTTGGAACTGCTGCGTCGTCTCATCGCTGCTCTGTTCCTACCAAACACCTGTCTGTCCAGAAAAGACAATGACTGAGACACAGAAGATCAGACAGAAGGAAACTGTTGTTTGTGTTTCTGTCTCTCTGTGGAAACCCAACCTGAAACGGGTTACCATGGCAAGCAGTCCGCCGTCCGTCTACGATCCTTTCATTTGACAGCAGGCTTCTCTTCCTGATATAAATCCTTCGTCAGGTCGGTTCCTGCAGACTTCTTAGTTCTGCCCTTCTGCTTTCAGAACCGATCTGACTCAGGCTGTCCAGATTCTGTAGATTTGCTTGTTGCAGGTCCATGATGCCAATCTGTCCTTCCTCCAGACCCAGAGTATTTTCTGCTGGAATCACCTGGGAGGACACTGAACTTTTCTGTTCAGTGTGTTTGCTAACTTTGAAAATGTTCAGCCTGCTTAGCTAACGTTTATTACTGTTTTCATAGATTCTGATGTGTTTGGATGTTTTCCAAACTGTTATATTCATGCTTCATGACTAGTGTTTGAGGGTCAGTGTGGCTAGCTTCCCATTAGCGGTTCCCTCCCATCAGTGGAGCCAGAAACCAGATGAAGATGATTTGACCTCTGACCTGAGGACTGTATCGTCCAGCAGGATGGATCCACTCTCCATGTTTTTTACACTACATTCTGACCCGTCGGTCTGAAATTTGCAACTAGATTTGAGGCTAATCAAAGCAGGCAGCATTTTTCTCTGACCTCTCATTGTCCAGTTTTGATGAACCAGTGTGAGCCGTTGCCCCAGTTTCCTTTCCCAGCTGACAGAAGCGGCACCCGGTGGGTCCTCTATCTTTGTAGGCCATCTGCTTCAAGGTTCCACTCCATCAGGGACTCAATCTGCAGCTCTGGGTTGTGATGAGAGGTTGTTAGAGGTGCTGCTGCCTTTTATCATCTGAACTCAGCCTGATCATTCTGGCATCAAGGAGCAGCTGCTGCTCACTGGAAGCTTTTCTGTTTTTCTCACCTTTCGCTGTTAAGCTGAAACGGTTCAGAGAGAAAGTCCCCATTTCTGAAACATAGGAAGTCAGAATGAAGTTTGTTACCTTTTCAGGATGCGTGTGATTATTTTTAAACGTGAGAAGCAGAAAATGAGGAGATAACAGCATGACTGGAACGTCTCCACCTCTAAGCAGCATGATCCTGGTTCAACACATTATTAGTTCTGCTGATCCACTTCAGGTTAGCAACAGATCAACAGTCAGGCGTTGAACGTGTTTCCATCGTAAACAGTGTTAAATACATCCTACTTTGTGCTTTTCTGCTTCGCCTCTGTCTCACTGGAACCGCAGAAACCTAACGTGGATCCATGTTATCACACAGATAAGAGAAGAAACAAACTCGTTCTGCAGAAAAGCAGGTGACCCAGATAGCTGATTGACCAGAAGTCCACCGGAACGTCTCATAACATATTAGAGAAATGCTGACTTTGATTTGAATCATTGCAAGGAAATCGCAAAGCCAAACACGTCAACACAGTTATGGTTCTGTTCCTTTAAACCTGTTCTTCATTTACTTTGCTGCACATTTTCATAGGTTTAGTCCAAAACATCTTATCTTCTAAAGTCTATAATTCTGGTTTGTCTTATTGTCATGTTTGCTCTCCTAATGTCACTGCAGCATAAACTAAACAAATTGTTTTTAATGACAAAAACTCACAAAACTCACTGGAAAAACTGGAACCTGAAACTGAAATTTAACCAGTGAAAATTAGTTTCTGCTTTTGATTTGTTCAGTATTTAAAGATGAATTAATGGTTAGAAATAATGCTACCTGTGAAAGGTTAGCATTAGCATGAGCCAGTTAGCAATGCAGACATTACATATCAGCTCTTTCCTTGTTTTGTAAAAAAATTCAGTGAAACCATTTTAATCGTCTGTTTTACTTTGACGGCGCCTGAATGAGGGACGTTCTGCTGTTTTGTTATTGAGGTCATGAAGAGTTGAAACCGACGTTCCTAAAATATGCTCATTGATATTTGGTCTTGTCTTGTTTTAATTATGTCAGCGGTTTGAAACATCACCGTCCTCTGTAGTGACTGACAGTGCCACATGTATATTTTATGACTTTTGAGCCTTGAATTTAAGCCCAGAGTTTATTCTGATATGAATATATAAATGTTAAATGTGTTTTTGCACCATTTTCTTCTGTTATCCTAAATATGTGGTGCATTTTATCGCCTGCTGTAAGTCAGTTGTTACCATTTCAGTGGAAGATTTGAGCATCTTTCAGAAACAACTGTTAGTTTTCATTAAAACTGCAGCCGACCGTGAGGATCTTTCTTTGCGATTCTGAGCATGTAGACATGAAACGTAGCAAAAGTTTAGAGTTTGTTTCCTTTTTGAAAGTATTTTGGTTCTGGGTGCAGAAGCCGTGACTTCCTGTCTGCCAGAAAAGCTCGGCGCTGGGAACCCGGCTCTAATGAGGAGTGGGAGTGTGTCTGTGTCACCCATGTTGAGCCTTTGTGTTGCGGAGGCGAGACGGGAGATTTCCATGTCTGTGGTTTCTCGGCTCTTTGTCCCTGTCCAGTTATTCTCTCCTGATTTGTTCTCTCACCTTCGGCCCTGGATCTCCTCCTCCTCTCATCTCCTCAAACATCGCCTCCTGCTGCTGCCACTCAGCTCCTCTGTCTGCCTATTTCAGGCTCAATAACCTGGACTATTTTTTAAATGGTCATGTAAACAGGTGCATACAAAATCCCTGATTAATGTAAGCAGGCAACTAAGACTCAACAGTCTCTTCCTTCGTTAAACCTGAAACAGACATTGCAACACAAAGGTTTCCATGTTTCCTCTGCATGGACCACATTCTCTGCACCAGGTGAAAAACATGGCGGACGAGCAGAATCTCTCTCGATGGAGTTTTTCTTCATAATTCAGACCATAACTACCACACAGACGTTGTTACAACTGCACTTTCACTTCGAACTTTGTTACAACCTGAAGTCTCGCAGAAGATTCGCAAAACAGACTATAAATGCTGTTAAAAGTGTTTTGAGCAGATAACAAATGTCTGTTTTCCAAGACGAATATAAATATTTAAACCAAACTCAAAGGATTTAGAGAAAAAACTTTAAATTGCAGCTCTGAGAGCCGGAGACGTCTGACCTGCAGAGGTCGGCGCTTCTGTCTGTGAATAGATTTGACATGCAAAACATTCAACTGCAAAACGAACATATTACCACCTTGTTTCCAGTCAAAGACAAACTATCACTCAATCAATCAAATTTGATTTTGTGTAGCACATTTCAGCAGCAAGGCTTTTCAAGAGCTTTACATCATAACAAACACAAAAACACAAAGTTATGCAACGTCGAATCAACAATCAAAACATGACATGAAGTCAGGATCCATCATTAAATGAATTGATTGTGTTTGTAATAAAACAGGAGGTTTTAGTCCAGATTTTAAAGGCACTCTGTGTTTCAGCTGCTTTACAGTTTTCTGGAAGTTTGTTCCAAATTTCTGGTGCATAGAAGCTGGTTTCTGCTTCTCCTTGTTTGGTTCTGGTTCTGGGGATGCAGAACCAGAACCTTCAGGTTCTGGAAGCTTGATACAACAGCAGCAGATCTTCCATGCGATGCTGAGCCGTTCAGTGATTTTCAATCTATTCTCTGATTGATCCAGAGCAGGTTGCACCAGAGACCAGACAGAAATATTTAGTGAGATTTTGTGTTTTTCAGTGCATCAGCTGCTCAGATCTTGATTTTGTTTCTGAATATTTGGCTGGTCAGTTTTCAGATTAACAGTAATGTTTGACTAGTTACAGAGGTAACTAGGGGTTAGCCAGAGGATTCTCAGCCTTTGGTGTGAGGCAGTCAGAGTGAGGTAAAATGAGCCAAGAAAAGCTCAGCATATGTTAGAACTCCTTCCAACACGCTGGAAGAGGTCCAGACGCCACCCGCAGGAAATGGAGAACGAAGAGCTGCTTTCAAAGCACAAAGAAACATCCAGGAAATCCTGATTTTCAGCTTAACTTTGGTTTTCTTCACATCTTCCTGACGCTGGACAGTACTTTCCTGCAATTAAAATTAATAAATTATTCAGTGTTTTCTTCCACTATATTCCTATTTCCAAATCTCAGCTGCATCTTTAAATGGGAAATATTTGAAATAAAACAAGGTTTTTATGTTTCTCCTGCAGTTCCGCCTGTGGCTGCTCGGCCTCGGCTTCAGCCTCGCTTATGGCAGCATGTTCACCAAGATCTGGTGGGTCCACACCCTGTTCACCAAGAAGGACGAGAAGAAGGAGAAGAAGAAGGTATGGATGAGCCGAGCCGCCTGCTGCCCTGCCCTGATGCCAGGAATCCACTGCAGATAGTCGTCAGCAACAAGTTGCTCATCTTCAGCAACAAGTTGCTCATCTTCAGCAACAAGTTGCTCATCTACAGCAACAAGTTGCTCATCGTCAGCAACAAGTTGCTCATCTACAGCAACAAGTTGCTCATCTACAGCAACAAGTTGCTCATCTACAGCAACAAGTTGCTCATACTACAGCAACAAGTTGCTCATCTACAGCAACAAGTTGCTCATCTTCAGCAACAAGTTGCTCATCGTCAGCAACAAGTTGCTCATCGTCAGCAACAAGTTGCTCATCGTCAGCAACAAGTTGCTGACCAGATTGTAAATTTAGCATCTTGTTAGAAAACGATTTAACTCTAAAGTTTAAATTTTCAGTGAAATGTTGGAGTTGAAACACTAAAAAAGTGAAATTCCAGTTTGGAAAACCTGAAGGATTCAGGATCCATCACCTCCACACACCTGTGCTGAAGCGCTAATAGGGGAGCTAACTCTTTGTTGAGCACTTTTGCTAACTTTAAAAACGTTTAGGCCACTTCAACACAGTTTTCTGATATATCTAAATTTACTTGGCTGTTTTGTAAACTTTCAGTTGGATAAAGTCCTACATCCTTTTTAAGTTTTATTTATCGATTGTTAAAAATCTTTAGGCTTTTATATTTATGCTTTTATTTAGAAATTTTTGTCTTGTTTGCTCTTGTTTTTTTTAATAATGTCATTTTAAAAACAAACTGGAATAACTGGTTTTCTGTAACTCTTCCTCACCTGTTTGCCAAGTAGACAGTGATGGATGATGATGATGATGATGATGATGATGATGATGATGATGATGATGATGATGATGATGATGATGATGATGAACCGCTGTCACCTGGAACTGAACGACATGATTTGACTGAACTCAAATGAGCCGTCGCGGCGGCGGCTCTGGTCGCCTCCAGCCGCTCAGTCATGGTGTCTGGCTTTGGCTGGGCGATAGCCTCAAGCTACATGTAAATAGCTTCTGCCAGCTGAGCAGCAGTTTAATTGTGCTGCTCTGCTGGAAGCATGGATGGATTATCCTGCCTGCAGGCGGCAGAGGCAGCGGAGGAGAGCTTGTCCGAGCTGCAGAGCTTGTGTCGCCATAACTAAGCTTTTGGGAGGCGTCTTTATGCAACAGCGCGACTTAAAAACTACAAACATGCAGCTTCAGATGCTGTTCATGCATTAAACTACAAACATGCAGCTTCAGATGCTGTTCATGCATTAAACTACAAACATGCAGCTTCAGATGCTGTTCATGCATTAAACTACAAACATGCAGCTTCAGATCCTGTTCATGCATTAAACTACAAACATGCAGCTCCACAGTACAAAGCGGATGTTGAAGTGTGTCTCCTGGAGAAACCGAGGGACTCTGCAGTGTGTTGTGGAGATTTCTAGGACCCAAGCAGAAGAATAAGAGATTAAGCCATTTATGGAGTATTTATGAATATGGATGGTATTAAAGTCCCATGCAGAAATCCAACCTTCAGGGGTTTATTATTGGAGCTAAAGCGCATCGAATCAGTTTGACTTTCAGCTCCCTTCATGTCTGCAGAAGGGCAATTTGCCTGAGAGCTCAGCGCTTATTTAAAGAAAGTTTCGCACACCGAGAGCAGAATGGCTGCTTTCCTCCTGCTGCTCAGGAGAAGTGCTGTAAACGAGTCTCCTCCTTTATTTTATCGCTGCGTTTTAGTCATGGCATGCTTGAGCGGCCGCTGCTGTGTCGGAGGAGCTGTGAGTCAGCTGTTGAATTAAAAGAAGGACGCTTGTTTCCAGTCCTGCTTGTTCTGCTTCATCACGGCTCGGCTGCAGATCCACAGCAGAGTCGACTCTGTGTGTTTAGACGATGATTTCAGGTGGCAGCACAAATATAGCCACTGCAGCGCAGTGTGTGTCGCCTGCAGAGACACTCGGACGCTCGCTGCTCCCTTGAATCCTGTCGGACGCTCACGTCCGCCTGGCTAAGACACACATCCAGAGAGACAATTTGTTCCCAGTCATCCAGAAATCACAAGGACGCCTGTCGTGTTGTTTGTCCGGGTGGTTTGTCTTTGTTTGCCGGGCGGCTCGTGATGCCCTTGGATAGTGATGACTTTGTGTTTGTGCATGTCTTTGGCTCCCACTCACACAGCAACCCTTGGAGCCGTGGAAACTCTACGCAACAGTTGGAGTGCTGCTGGCCATCGACTTCCTGTCGCTCATGATCTGGCAGATTGTGGATCCTCTGCACATCACGGTCGAGGTAGAGTACGAGAGACGGATGAGATCACGGTTTGAGACGCTGAGGCGTGACTGACGGGGCGGCGCGTTTCATTTCCACAGTCACAGCCTCCAAACAAGAAACTCGATCAATGCAGGTTGTTAAACCGAAGCCATTTAACAAACTCATTTGGATTAATGTGTTTGTCAGTTTGATAAATCAAACCAGGAAAAACAGTTTGAATCAGAAAGTGAACATGAAAGCCTCAAAGTCCTGCAATGGAAATAGAAAAAAATGTTAATGTCAAAAATGCCTAAGATTTGCAGTAAAACGAACAAAAGCAAAAATAATCAAAAATTCCCCCAAATTCTAATCTGGTCAAAATATTCTAATAATTTGTTAAATTATAAGATCATTTTTAAAATAGTTTTTCTCACTATTTCTGCAGTGGATCATTTATCTGTGGTTATTTCAGATTAAAAGTTGTTTGATTAAAAGCTACATATGTCATATTTGAAAACTTTTTGTGTTCAGGCTTTCTGTCAGATTTACTTTTGGACTTTGACTAGGCCTCAATGTGTTTTTGCAGCAGAGTGACTCGTCTGTCCTGCAGCACAGAATTTTTTGGTTAATTTGGGAAAAACCAACAAAAAGATAAAAAGTGGAGCGGTTAGCAGCACTGCTGCCTGAAGCAAGAAGGTCCTGGGTTTGAGTCCTGTGCATGCTCCACCTTAAGACATTTTCTCCAGAAGTGGAATAATCTGCCAGGACTTTTGATCAATATTTAGGAATTATTGATTTATCTGTGCAAGTTAGTTTTAAGTTTTTGACCTATTATGATGTTTTGGTGTTTTTTAGTGTGATTTTAGAAAATATTAGTTTAGATGTATATAATATATATTTCTTTGTATAAATTAGTTTCATTTTACATGGTGTGTGACACTGAGTGATTTTCAGGGCAGTGAAAATAAATCTACTCTAAGCTTTACGCCAGTCAGATGCTACAGGAAGTTATAATCTCATATTTCCTGTATTGGATGTCTGGTATCGTCTGTGTGAGCCGTGGGAGGAACTTTGGACCGACAGGATCGACCCTGCAGCTCTCAGCTTCATGCTTACGTTGCTTCTTCCTGCTGCTGCCTCATCGTTTCTGATTATCTCTGTTTTCCTCTCTTCTCCTCTCTCCTCCCTCCTCCCTCCTCCCTCCTCCCTCCTCTCTCCTCCCTCCTCTCTCCTCCCTCCTCTCTCCTCCTCCCTCTCTCCTCCTCTCTCCTCCTCCCTCCTCCCTCCTCCCTCCTCCTTTCTCCTCCCTCCTCTCTCCTCCCTCCTCTCTCCTCCCTCCTCTCTCCTCCCTCCTCTCTCCTCCTCCCTGTCCGTCATTTGAGCAGAAGTTCACCAGAGAGGCGCCTAAAGAAGACCTGGACGTCCTGATCCAGCCTCTGCTGGAGCACTGCAGCTCTGAGAAGATGAACACGTGGCTCGGTATCTGTCCTCTCCTCTCCCCCGTTTCTCTCAGCTCACCCCGCGTATCTTTGTCACACACACACACACACACACACACACACACACACACACACGCGCGCGCACACACACACACTTCACGACCTTTCACTGCAAATTAAACGGGTCTCTCATCACACAGTTAGGTTTGATTCCAGCTTTCATTCTGGGTTTTCACCCTCGTTTCTTCTCCATCTCTGTCTCTGTTGCATTTCTTGGCGGCTCTTATGAAAGAGAAATAGTTCTGAAATTCAAACAATGTGGGTCACAAACTGGGCCAATGCCCCATCGCCCCCCCTCAGAAGGAGAAGATGTCATTTCAGGCTGTATCAGGAAACGGCGGGCAGTTGGAGGAGTATTGATCTTAAACGCTTCGCTGTTTCTTTCCCATCTTTATTATTTCCGCCTCTGGCCACATTTCCTCTGACTTTCCTAAAACAGATTTAATGGTGCTGCTTTATTATGTCCTGTAAAAGAAGCCATGATTGGTGAATTAATTGGAGAAATTGTCTCCAGGTTGAAATTTGCAGAAGCTTCTAAACTGAAAAACAAAACATGAACTGCAAAAATCCTGCTTAAGTTATTCTAGTCATTTTATTTGTAAATAAATGTTAATTTATGCTAAAGTAAGGAAATGAGTTTGTTGTGTTTCCTTGATGCCAGCTGTTCAACTGAGCGTCTTTATTTCTCAGCTTTTCTCAGACTTGCTGAGGAAATGAGATCCGTTCCTCTTGGTTATTATAAAACTTTACTAAATTACTGGGAATCAGATAAAAACATGTCTGATTATCACAACACTAATGAATTGGAGGTGCAAGTTTTCAAGTTTTCCCTTTTAAGACTTTTAATTTTCTTCAAAGGTTTTTATTCTCAGGGTTTGTTTGCAGCATTAGCATGTACCATCAGCTGCTGCTGTTTGTCTAAATACTGCTGATTAACAATAAATCCATCAATGTATGCAAAAATATAGGAATGATGTTTTTTACACAAAATCAGTTCAATCCAGTCATACTGAGACATTCTAACATAAACTTTCCAGTTTGATCCGTTATAAAACATTACTGCTTATTAATTTGCCACTTATTAATTAAAGAGAAGTGAAGATGCAACAATCTGCAGATTGTCACCGATTTTAAAACACGATCAATATAACTATTGGAACATTACAAATGTATCATGTACATAAAAGTTATAACTGATGCAAAAATAAAATATGAGATGACGTGTTTTTATTACATAACTGTCTTGTTTTGCATTTTGAATATCCATTAAATACAGTAGCTTTAAATTTATTTCTTTGTCTTGTAAAAATAACTAATTAAAACTATATTTTGTGTAGCATGTTGCTATGCTAGCATAAATACAGAATTTGCACTTAAAATCAATTGAAGTTGTGTAAAGAAAGTAAAATAAAAATATTTTAAAAGTTTTATAAATGAAATAACTTTCTTCTGTTTTAATGAGTTTATTTTAAATAAAATCATCTTTTCAAATGTAACAAAGCCATTTTGAAACCAACTGGACTAAATCTGTGGATTTTCCCTCAGACAGTCATTCTGATAGACTTAGTGACATATTTTAGTCTGATAATATTTTATTAATTCAAACATTTAAATGTATTCATGCGGTTAAATTCACTGCATTAATGTGGAACAAACTGATCTGTTTAAAATGACGTTTACTGTAGAAAGTAACTCTTTTATTGACTTTGTGTTTTGCTAACCGTTCTTCATCTCCTGTTAGGTGTGGTTTATGGCTACAAGGGTCTGCTGCTGCTCCTGGGTATTTTTCTGGCTTATGAGACGAAGTCTGTCTCCACGGAGAAGATCAATGACCATCGAGCCGTGGGGATGGCCATCTACAACGTAGCCGTGAGTCCAGACAGAAACTGCTGCGCTGCTGCTGCAGTCTGCTTGCTGCAGTCTGCTTGCTGTCTGCTTGCTGCAGTCTGCAGCAACAATAAAGCAGCAACAAGAAGCCAGTTTAATTGCTTCACAGCTCAAAGAGGTCATAGTTTATCTGTCAGTGGGTTCATTATCGTTCTGCAGTCTGTTCTCATTTAACTTGACCTCTAGCAAAGACTTCAACAGCACAACATCAGAGGGGAGAGTTGGCTAAAGGTAGCTTGAACTTTCCTGGTTGTTGCTGCACAAACATGTTGAAGCTCCTGATTGGAGCCAAGCAGGAAGTTGGAACAGATTTCAGCAGCTTGTTGTGAAGTTTTCCTTCACAGATTCCTGATAAACTATCACTTTGTGCTGCAGCGGCACGGCTATCTCTGAAGTCATTTGTTAGCAAAATCAATAAAATCCAACTTCTATTGTGCTGCGGTTTGTTACTGCTCATGCACACAGTGCAGCACTTTGGCTTTATTCCTCCGCATACATAATAAGCAGAATGTGCACAGCGGGACGCGGCTGGAAGCGTCGCGCCTTCATAGATCCGCTCCGGCCTTTCGCAGGAAAATGCAGCAATTTGGCTTCTGAAGGAGAGCGTTGATGCGGCTTGCTGTCTGCCGCAAACATCTTTCAGGGGCGGCTGATACCAAGTGAATCACCTTAAATGGAGGCACCTAGGATGCACTTTCAGCTGAAATAGATGCTATTATGTTCTCCATAGCCACTTTAGAGAAACACTCGCTGCCATTTCCTGACACGGTTGACATGGAGCGACTTTGGAATGGATGTAAAATGTCTGAAAACAATAAGTGGTTTCTGTCACTTCTAACTCCAGAGGGTTCAGAGCCACTTTCACACCACTTTGCTGTGTGTTACTCACGTGTTTTTCTTCTTCTGGACTGAATAATGAATTAAAGAAGGTCTTTAATGAGCGCCTGCATCGGCCTAAGCTGTGCTGATTTGTTGATAAAAAAATACATTTATGTTTAATTCAAATCATTTATAAGGACAATAAAAACAGCCTGTGTGCTCGTTTCATCACTCGGCCCCATAACGAGAGACAAGTTAGACGTGTGTTTGGTGTTATGATGCACACATTTCAGTTTTATGAAGATGTCAATAGTTAATGGGGTCTACAGGGAGCGTCCTCCTCTCCGCTCAGCCGTAGCTGCCGGCTCTGATGAGACGACAGCGCCGGCCGCCGCCGCCTCGGTCATGACTTTTTAATGCTGTTTTCACTCGGGATTCCTCTCCGGAATGATAAACAGATGCCTAATGCTTTTATTGATGTGGTTCTGTCCTTCGTTTCTAACCGGCGCTGCGTCTCCGGCTGCAGGTGCTCTGCCTGATCACGGCGCCGGTGACGATGATCCTGTCTTCGCAGCAAGACGCCTCCTTCGCCTTCGCCTCGCTCGCCATCGTCTTCTCTGCTTACATCACTCTGGTGGTGCTCTTCGTCCCGAAGGTGAATGACAGCCTGATAGCAGGAGGCAAACCGACAGTCACTCACAGTAGAGTAAAAGTGAAGGTCAGACCTGTCAGAACAAAGTTCAGACTGAGCGTATGAAAATTCAGATTTCAGGATTTTGAGTGAAGTGCATCCTTCTCTTCATGTCTTCCTGTTTGTTAGAAACGATATTAAAACGTCAAGGTGAAGAGGGAAATTGTTTTGTGCCTAAAAAATAAAACTTTAAAGATGGTATGACAAATAGAAGTAGAAGACTTTCTGCAACAGAAGCAAATCAAACTGAAATTTATAGTGTTGGGAAACCAGGAAAACAACAACTGCTGCAGATATTTAGAAAGGAATATTTAAATCTGATGGATCATCAGCAGATCCATCATCATAGAGTAAATAAACATTTCTGTGCAAAGCATTATTCAGCTAAGAGTAAAAAAGTTTAATTTAGTTTATTTACCGTTTACACATCACTTCATTACATCAGTAAAACCATTTATAAATAAAACTAAACATATCATTTGTTCTTCATTTATTGAAGTTACACTGAATATTCAGAAATGTTACTCCAGTCAGAGTAATGGAACTTTATAATAAAGTTACTCAAGTAAATACTTCAAAAAGTATTTTTTCCTAAATGTTATTCATGCAAATGTAACTGAGTAAATGTAACTAGTTACCTCCCAGGTGTGTCCATCATTAATTGTTTCTGTGGTTCTGGTCTTCTGCTCCGTCCTCGGCGGTCCAGATGCGGCGCCTCATCACCCGCGGCGAGTGGCAGTCAGAGCAGCAGGACACGCTGAAGACCGGATCGTCCACCAACAACAACGACGAGGAGAAGTCCAGGCAGCTGGAGCGGGAGAACCGGGAGCTGCAGAAGATCATCCAGGAGGTGAAGGAGCGTCACCGGGTTCTGACCAGAACCTGACCAGAACCAGACCAGAACCAGACCAGAACCTGACCAGAACCAGACCAGAACCTGACCAGAACCTGACCAGAACCAGACCAGAACCCGACCAGAACCAGACCAGAACCCGACCAGAACCTGACCAGAACCAGACCAGAACCTGACCAGAACCTGACCAGAACCAGACCAGAACCAGACCAGAACCAGACCAGAACTAGACCAGAACCAGACCAGAACCTGACCAGAACCAGACCAGAACCTGACCAGAACCAGACCAGAACCAGACCAGAACCAGACCAGAACTCGACCAGAACCAGACCAGAACCGACCAGAACCAGACCAGAACCAGACCAGAACCAGACCAGAACTAGACCAGAACCAGACCAGAACCAGACCAGAACCAGACCAGAACCTGACCAGAACCAGACCAGAACCAGACCAGAACCAGACCAGAACCGACCAGAACCTGACCAGAACCGACCAGAACCAGACCAGAACTCGACCAGAACCTGACCAGAACCAGACCAGAACCAGACCAGAACCAGACCAGAACCTGACCAGAACCAGACCAGAACCAGACCAGAACCCACTGGTGCTGATTGGCTGTCCTTCCAAAGAGCAGAAATAAGCTAACCTGTCATGTTAGCCTTTGTGCTAAGAGACGACATGATCAATCTGATCATTGATCAATCTGAGCTCTGAACATTCAGCTGCTTTTTATGGGTTCGGTTATGATAAGCTGGGGAGACTTGGTGGGTTTTTGGTTTTATTTTGTTTTCATGGGTGATGGGAACATTTCTTTTGTGTTTTTATATTTTTAATTAATGCATATTAAAGTTTATTTCATGTTGGCAACAAAATACAAAACGCAGCAAATTTATCATCACTGTAGGAGCTATTTCTCCATTATTTTTTTAGTTAAAGTTTAGAATGTAGATTATTCAGTTTATTTGTTTTTCTATGATTTATAATTAGAATGTTTATTTTGTTTTCTAAATAAAATAAACACTTAATTAGTTAATTGATTTCAGTTTGGGAAGTGGGTGTGTTTCGCAGTATAAATATGTTGTTTAGACGAGTCTTTAGTCACGTGGTGGTCACATGGTTTCTACCTGTCTGTCTGTCAGTGAGTCAGTTCTTTATTATTGAGAATAAGTGCAGGAGTTAGGGCAGGGTTTGTCTGTAACTTGGTTTTAGATCAAAACTGAATAAAGAAAACAAAGAGCTGGACTGTTTGACCTTTTGTTTGGACTGCGTAAACCAGAACCCACGATCCACTGACTGTTTGAGTTCATTTCATTTTCCTTTCATCACTTTTGAGATTTGATTTTTTTTTTCTCTCTCTTCGATTTTGGAATTAAGTTTTAGGGACAAATAGTCAATACAATCACTTTTATTTTTGTACAAATGTTTTCACATAAAATCCCAGTTGAACATAAATTCTGGTTTCGGGAGAAATTTGCCCTCTCTGGTTGTTTTGTTGCTGTTTAACAAGGAAGTTTCTGTGACATTACATTAATGCTTTGTGACTCTGACAGAATAAGAACGAGCAGAGGAAGTTCTCTGCAGTCGCTCCAAGGCTAAACTTTGTTATCATCGGTTTTCCAGAAAGAAGAGAGGGTGTCCGCGCTTCGCAACCAGCTGGCCGAGCGTCAGGCAATACGCAACCGCCGCCAACCCACCTCAGGCCAGAATCAGAACCACAACGCCCCGCTGCCCGCGTCCCAGACCGATCCCAAGTCGCTGCTTCCCCCTCCAGGATACCCCAACCCCACCGTGGACAACCACTCCCTGCCGCCGTCCTTCTCCAACTCGTCCAGCCTCTACCCGGCCGACAGCAAGATGAGCCGCAACCACTGTCACAACAGCCAGATCCCGCTGCTCTACAAGTAGGCGGGGAGGGAGGGGAGACTGGGGAGACTGGGGGGATCAGGGGAGACTGGGAGGATCAGGGGAGACTGGGAGGATCAGGGGAGACTGGGAGGATCAGGGGGATCAGGGGGATCGGGGCTGGAGGGGTGGGTGGACACACGAAACACAAGCAGGACACGACTGCTGGGCAGGAGCCCACAGGTCAACACCCGTCCTCACCGTTCTGCATCCAAACCCAGAAACAAAGCACACATGGCGGCCGCAACAACGCCTCTGACCTCCAGAGGGCAGAGGTCGTCTGGACGTTCAGAGGTCGTCTGGACGTTCAGAGGTCGTCTGGACGTTCAGAGGTCGTCTGTGACCTTCAAAGGTCGTCTGGACGTTCAGAGGTCGTCTGTGACCTTCAAAGGTCGTCTGGACGTTCAGAGGTCGTCTGGACGTTCAGAGGTCGTCTGGACGTTCAGAGGTCGTCTGTGACCTTCAAAGGTCGTCTGGACGTTCAGAGGTCGTCTGTGACCTTCAAAGGTCGTCTGTGACCTTCAGAGGTCGTTTGGACGGTCACACGCTCCGTGGAGACGGGGATGTTCTTGGAAAAACGTGCGTGTTTGTGTTTTTTCTGCGATTTCGTCTGTCTGGTGGGGTTTGTTCCTCATGCAGTTGGTGGTTTTTATCGTTCTGTAAAATTTGATCCGTTTCGTCATGGAGGTGTCGTCTGACTCTTTGTTCACTTTTCAGGAGAAAACTGAAAGTTACTGACTGATAAAAGCAATGTACAGATTTTATTCAACGTTCCCGGGAACGCTGGGTTTATCCAAAAGTTGTCATGTGATTTATTTAATAGCCATAGCCTAAAGGTCAGGGGTCAGCATGTGTGGATGTCTGTTGTCAGGCTGCATTTCAATGTAAACCTTGATGATAAACGGAGAGCAGAAGAAACCAGCTGGGATATTTCTGAAGCTTCTTAGTTTTTCATGTTTATTTCTTTGGGATTTTTGATTTCTTTTAATCTGAGATTAAAAACACACACAGGCTCTTGATTGGTCCAGTTTCTGACCGGTTCTGGTGTTTTAAAACTGGACAAATGAGAAACGTCCTGCTTCATTAAAGCCTCATGAGGGATGTGCAGCAGATAGGATCCAACAGAGACATCCTGCTCATCCTGTGTCTCTGACGTCCAACAGAAACCTCATTCCCCTGTCAGTCAGGACAGCTGCTGACCTTCCCAGTAAGGTCATCCTGAAATCGGACGATAAATGTGCAAACCACAAAAAACCCGTCTGAGGTTCTGCTCAGCCAATCAGAGAAAACATTTGGGCCAATCGGAGGGTCTTGATGGACACATCCTACCGACTGTCAAGCACGGTGGGGAGGAATGATGCTCTGGGTACCAAACACAAAGGTTTCTTTGTTCTGATGCTAAAACCAGAGGAACTGAAACAGAACATTGTTACTTTTTCAACAAAGCTTCAGCTCTTGCATTTTCTGGGGAAACTAACCTCAAATCAACTTTTATTTTTTTTCCCTCAACTGGTCCTGAAAGTTTTTTATATTTGGGTGTCTAAATTTTTTTGATTTGCCAAGAGTAAGAAATGAATTCAGTTCTGATGACCTTTTTATGTCAAAAGGTCCTGAACCCTGAATAAATAATTGCATGTAAAGCCGTGTGGCTGATAGAAGCTCTGACCCACTAATGAGCCGTGATGCATTATGTTGCTGCATTAGGCTAACAACTCCTGCAGGGTCCCTGAACGCATCATTCCTGAACGCGTCGTTCCTGAACGCATTGTCCCTGAACGCATCGTTCCTGAATGCATCATTCCTGAACGCGTCGTTCCTGAACGCATCGTTCCTGAACGCATCGTCCCTGAACGCATCGTTCCTGAAACGCTTCCACCTTTTGATGCAGCTGAAGTTAGTCATGTATCTGAATGTCTGACCTCAGTAAACATCCCCAGGAATTAACTTCACTGGTTCACACAACCTTCAATATATTGAAAACTTAATCTGACCTTTGACCCCAGTCTTGTCTTAGATTGGTTATTCTGGGCTGAGTCAACACTTCAGCTGCAGAAAAACGTTCAGGGAATTTTTCTGGAGTCAGATTAACGTTTGACTGCAGTTGATCTTGATGTCAGAAAGCAGCTAAACGTCTCACACCCCTGAACAGTTTCACATTTTAGCTTCTTCATGTTTTACTGGGACTTTATGAAAACAAAGTAGTCCAAATTTTCAAGGAAGATTTTATGTTTTTCTCATTGACTTAGATCTGAAAAGTGTGGCATGCCAGTGTAAAGAGCACCAGTGAGTGCAGGTGAAGCTCAGGTTTTTCCTGTTTTAGCTCCATCTGTCCTCACAGCATGATGCTGCCACCACCATGCCAACCACAGGCGACATGAGGAATGCTAGTTTTTCCCACACATGAAGCGTAAAATGTTGACAAAAGGAGTTTCTTCTTTGTTCTGCTTTCCTTACCTGGCAAATAATGGTTGACATGGCAACTTCTCCCAGTGCTGCACTACTTTCTGCTGGCCATGAAATCCTGAAACGCCGCCTGAGGTCTGTGGGAACATAATGTGACAGTCAGGAGGTGTGAGAACTTTTTGCAGACCTTTGTGAATAAACGCATGATTTCTGTTGCACTTCATCTCTGTAAGCTTTTTCTCATTTTTATGATGTTTAAAACCCAGAAATAATTTCATTTTTTTCCCCTTTTTGTCATTGAACGTTTGTTAAAGATGAAGGAAGAAAATCTGTTGTATTCTGAAGGAAACGACCAATAAGCTCCATCTGCAGGTACAACAAGTTTATCAGACATTCTGCAGCTGCTGGCCGTGAATCTGCACTTTAGCACAAACGATGACGGATGTTCAGCTGTAAAGTTTTAGCTCAGTGGGTCGGATTGTGTAACATATGAATGCAGCAAAACTACAAGAAATGTTCTATTATCCTGCACATATATGCTAATAAACATGGATTAGGGAATATTTGTACACACTATATCTAAAGATCTTAAATGTTAATATATTTCAGAGTATGTGTATGCTAATATGTGGTTAATATGAATAAATCGTTTTTTCACTTGAGAAGCCGTCTCCTGTGGCTCCACTAGGGGTCACCAGATGTCTGTTTCTGACCTCCTGAGACCTTTGCAGTTTTCATTTGAGGTCGATGGTGTTTGTGTGGAGACATTTTTCTGGATGACCTGTGGGAGTGGAAACAAAGGGAAGAGCTCATTAAGCAGAAAGTTGGGACGATGGGCGCAAACGCAGACAAATCGCTGCCACAGTTTGTGTTCAAGTGTGTTTTTAGATGATGATGGTGTGATGCAAACCAGCTGTGGTGTAGTCCCATGATCCCACAACACACACACACACACACACACACACACACACACACACACACACACACACACACACACACACACACACACACACACACACACACACACAGAGAGAGAGAGAAAACGGCTTCCCGTGTCGTTTCAGTTTCCAGCAGACTGAAGGCAGAGTGTGTGGTAACGGTGGCTGAGGAGGGGAGGAAGGTTGCAGGGTGTGTGACTGTGTGTGTGTGTGTGGGCTGTGAGGGGGCGTCACCGGGGAAAACCCGGTCTGGGCTGAGACTTCTGCGGGCCTCAGTCAGTGGGTCACTGAAAACGAGCAGGAAATTCCCCTCGGCTGCTGTGAGCTAACAAAGGAAGTATCTGCTGGCTGGAGGAATTTCAAACAACTTTTGCCAACTCTGTGTGTGAGAGTGTGTGTGTGTGTGTGTGTGTGTGTGTGTGTGTGTGTGTGTGTGTGTGTGTGTGTGTGTGTGTGTGTGTGTGTGTGTGTGTGTGTGTGTGTGTGTGTGTGTGTGTGTGTGTGTGTGTGCACAAACCGGAACTTCCAGTGCGGCTTCAAGTCTCAGAAATCTACTTCAGTTTTGTTGATTTTTATGCATTTTTATTCATATTAAATATAATATTAAACCAAAAATCCCACAAATTTAAATACCAATAAATATAAATAAATACATACAAGTAAATAGTGGAGAAATACACTGTGATCTGCTACAGCAGAGGTCTGGTCTTACAATCTGAGATCAACATAAATAAAGTAAAAAAAGTGCCTAAAGCAGAGATAAAGTTTCAAACTGTTACAGTTCATAAAGTCTAGTTCCATCTCCATGGAGATGTTAGCATGTCTACATCCCCTTCAGGCGGAATCAAAGTGTAAAAATGTGCATCATTTTTCTTTTTAAATCCTGTCCAGGATCAGAGTCTTAGTTTCACAGCAGCGGCTCAGAGCGCGAACAGGCCAAAGAAGGTTTTCCCCTCGTCCGTGTCCAGCTCCTTCAGCGGGTTGGACTCCGTGTCCAGCGTGTCTCCTCTGTCCAGCTGGAACACGGCGCCCAGGTAGATGGTGCTGTAGCAGCCGTGGCCCGACCGCTCGCCGTCCTCCTGGACGCTCTGGCAGGCCGACCTGACGGCGCTCAGCAGGGACACCCGGGTCCCCACGGCCCGAGACATCCTGCGGACGCGGTGGCTGAGGGTCGGCGGGCGCCACTCGCCCTCCTGGTCGCCGGACCGGGACACCCGGAAGGACGCCTGGCTGTAGACGAAGTACAGGCCGCTCTCCGGGATGACAATCCGGTTGTCTTGGAGGCGGAAGTTGCCCTGCGAGAAGGCCTGGCCCACGCGGTCGCGCCACTCCACGGCCGTCGCGTTGCCTCTTTCATCGTAATGACCTGAAACGAGTCACCAGTTAAATCTCTGCCTCAAATATGACCAAATATTTCTGTCTAGTTTAATGCAAACATCCTCTGAGAGCTTATTGAAGGAAAGTCTCTTAATCTGGAAGGAAAAGTTTTGCTTCCACTGATGGATTATTTCACTTCTGAGAGAAACGTTTTATTATGAGTGAAATAATCTCCCAGTGGAATAGAAATTTGATCAAATAATTATTGATTTCAAACAAACTCCTGCGATATTTGCTGGAGACCAAAGAAACTTGATACGATTTTGTGATTTAAAAAAATATTTTTCCTGAGTTTGCTGTTATTTATATGAATGATTTTCATTTGGATCCTGAAAAGATCAAAATTCCCACATAACTCCATGTTTTGGACCAACTGATGTATTTTTAACGTTAAATGATGTTTTATCAGTTTCTCAGTAGACTTTTTCATGAGTCACTTTTACTTCAACTTTTGTAAAACATGTTGATCTCTGAGTTGATCTCTGAGTTGATCTCTGAGTTGATCTCTGAGTTGATCTCTGAGTTGATCTCTGAGTTGATCTCTGAGTTGAACTCACCTTCCAGATGAATGGCTGCCTTTGCTTTTTTGCTCATTTCTTGCAGTGTGGACCGAGCGCCTGGACAGGAAGAGACAAACATGAGCTCAGATGATCCAGAACCGAATCTTTCTGTGTTCATGTGAAGGAGCTTCAGCTGATGCTCACCTGCCGCCTCCTCAGAGTCCATTCTGAACGGTGCTGCTGTGTTTCCTGCCTGCGTCTGGAGGAGAGGAAACATGATTAAAAACTGGCTCCAGAGATGAATCCAGAAGTCAGATTGAACCCAGACATGCAGCAGATTCTCCTTACTGTTGGTTCTGATCGTTCCAGCTGGTACCAGACGTAGAGCCGGGCGCCTCCAGGCAAAGCGCCAGGAGGAGCAGCACCGCCAGCAGCTTCCACAGCCACCCTGTGGACGACTTCTTTCTGCACCAGGACCTCCATCCTGTCCTGAGGCCCGGCCTCCACGTCGCCCGCTGTGATTTTGTATCCCGTCATCCTCTGGTGTCACTTGGCAGTCTGCTGGAGCCGGCAGCCCTCTCTGCTTATCTCTGAGTTAGAATGAACTTCTGCCAGCACGCCTCGTAGTATTTATGCAGTGCGGCTGCTCTTGCAGAAGGGAAACTCCAGTTATGTCACAGAGTGAGTGGAGAGGCCGCAGCTGCAGCAGCAGAGGAAACAGAAGTCACAGAATTTCTCAGTGTGTGTGTGGAGTGTGTGTGGAGTGTGTGTGGAGTGTGTGTGGAGCGTTGCGCCGCGGCAGGAGCTGCGGGTTCAGGACGGGAAAGTGATGGAGTTTTTAAGAGGGACGGATCGATCCACAAACACGCAGACATGAGGCAGACCCAGAGCTGAGGCTGATCCACACCTCAACCACTGTAATCTGTAATCTGTAATCTGTAATCTGATCGACCTGCAGCCAGAATCAACCCTGGACTCCAGTTTCACTCCAGCAGTTTATCGATCTGTGATCAGTTTAATGCAGGGCTGATAAATATACGCAGGAATGAAAAACATCATTACTGTATTAATATTAACCCAACATCCAAAAGTATGTTTTCAAAAATAGACCAAAGGAAAGGGAACCAGAAAGCCTGAGAGTGATTTCTTTTTCTGTCTCAGCTGTTCGTGTCTTTGGGTGAAAATCCTCTGGAAGTTCTGTTCAGTCTGAAAAGTAAAACCTGGCAGCTCCAACTTTCTGTTTCACAGCCTGGAGGTGCTGCAGCCCATGCTGCAGCCCATGCTGCAGCCCATGCTGCCGCCCGGCCGGTTCTTCCCCCTCTGACGCTCCTTTTCACTTTCACAGAACCGTCCGCTCCGCTTTGGCTCCAAATCAGTTCTGATCCATTTAAAGGTTCTGGAACAGACTGAAACCAGCGTGTTTCAGTCTGTTCATGTCGACCAGAGGAAGAAACGATGGATTCTCTTTAGGGAAACTAATGACGACATTTTGCATTTCAATGAAATCAAGAATTTTCTATTAAACTTAAAAACACGCCAAAGCGAGCTCTGCATGAAATCCTCAGTTTTCCAGGTTTGTTTTGATGCTGCAGCTGACAGTGAAACTGCTGGCAGCACAAAATCCTGTTTGAGTTTGGAACTAAAACTCATCAAAACCACAGGAGAAATGCAGAGACCAGATCAGACCAGAGACAGAGGAGCAGAACCGCAACATTTCTGCAAAGAGCCGACCAACATGGGCAGAACCTCCAGAACCACACAGACCCAGATGATCCAGATGATCAATGAGTCATGATTATGGCTGATTACTAAACAACGTGAAGACAAAATGTTTTCTTGGAGGGCAGGAATCTTCCTCATAATGAGATTTGTCTGTGAAAAAACATTAACAATCTAAGAAATACTGTTTGCTATGGTTATTCCCCCAATCTGAGATTAAACACTGGCAAATAATCTCTGAACATAATCCAGGATCTGTTCAACATAATCTGTTCAGGTTCTGTTCAGGTTCTGTTCAGGTTCTGCTCAGGTTCTGCTCAGGTTCTGCTCAGGTTCTGTTCAGGTTCTGCTCAGGTTCTGTTCAGGTTCTGCTCAGGTTCTGCTCAGGTTCTGTTCAGGTTCTGTTCAGGTTCTGCTCAGGTTTTGCTCAGGTTCTGCTCAGGTTCTGTTCAGGTTCTGCTCAGGTTCTGCTCAGGTTCTGTTCAGGTTCATTTAAATGGATTAAATATTTTCTGTTATCTTGTAAATGAAAACAAAATTCTGAGTTTATAAAATGTATTTTTCTGGGATTATTTTTACTTTTTTATTGATTTTTATTGATCAGAACTCGACGGTTTTCTTTTTTCTTTTCTTGTTACAAAAAAATACAAAATATCCCGTTAATGAAAATGAATTTATACAAAATACATATTGTATTTATTCAAATTCAATTAATTTGAATAATTAATTCAAATTAATTATTTGAATTTCTTTCTTAGACAGGAACCCAGTTCCTCCATTATTATTATTATCATCATCATCATCATCGTCACAGTTCTGATTACAGACACTCTCAGTGAGTGCCGGTTGGAGACATCCTCAAAGGAAGCGGATCCTTCCTTTGATATTAATATTTGTAATTAATTACAAATATTCAACATAAAATAAGCAGAAATGTTTATAGTTTAATTCACCTAAAACAATATAAATATATTTATACATTTTTAAAAATGATGCATTTGAAATCTGTGGCGCATCCTTGTTGCCCACGGCGACAGGTCATTGGACCGGTGCTGGTTCTGGTTCCTGCCGGGCCTGCTGATATTGTTGCCATGATGATTAAGAAGTTGTGCGGCAGTGAATCACCAGAATGACATCTTCATGTTTCCACATTTGTTTCTGTTAATGTTTTATTTTGGCTCCAAAAAAGAACATCCTTCCTGTTCCTGCTGCTCAACTTTGTCCTCCATCTTGTTCTCCTCCCCGGACCGAAGCGGTCCAGATGTGCCAGGCGGTTCTGTTGGACCGTCTTCCACTCTGCTGCCTTCAGAAGCTCCTCTCAGCAGGATCTGCACATCCTGCTTCCTGTGAGGAGGAAAGCCAGCCGGGTTCTGAGTTCTGAAGGTTCTGAAGGTTCTGGAGGTTCTGAAGGTTCTGGTGGTTCTGAAGGTTCTGGAGGTTCTGAAGGTTCTGGTGGTTCTGAAGGTTCTGAAGGTTCTGGAGGTTCTGAAGGTTCTGGTGGTTCTGAAGGTTCTGGAGGTTCTGAAGGTTGTGGTCTCATCTGGTTTATAATTAGAACATTAATTATTTTTCAGTGTTTTATTAAAAATATGTTTTTTGTTTTTCTTCTGTAATAATTTTTGGTTTATTTTGTTGTTTGTTTATTTTGTCCTGTTTTCTCGTTATGGTCGTATATTTATTATACTAGCGAATGAAAACTAGTCATTTACGTTTACCAATTTACTATTTAAATTATTATTATTTATAATAAAACATAAGTTATTATTGTTGTTGTTAATTGGTTTAATTTTATAAATATTCATTTATCTGCAATGAGGATTTCATTTCTCTCATATTTTTAAAGTTTCTTTCTTTCGTCCGGTCTGATAGTTTATTCTGAAATATCATTAATAACTACGGTAATAACGATAATAATAGTTGTAACATGAGGAATTGGAACTATTATGATTATGAGCTAACGGGGTTTTCCCTCACTGTGTTTTATTTTCAGCGTTTCTTCGATCAGTTCTTTAATCATTTTCTAGATGAATTCTTTCTTCTGCTCGTTTCGAATGCTGCTGTTGCTTTTTCTGAGGGAGACAGCAGGAGCTGCTAAATGTGACCCAGTGGATTGTGGGTAAACTGTGTGGGCTGCTGGATGTTCAGCTCTACGACTTTATATCCGCTGTCATTCAAACCCAGTTGGGAAACTCTTCCTTTCTGTCCCACCTTGACTGATTCATTCCAGCGTTGCAAACACAATCCGACCGCAACAAGTTGCCGGATGACATCATCCCCACCTTCACCGTGCAGCACCCACATGAATACAAACAAACACACAGGTTGCATCTTTACGTTTCCTGCGACTCCCTCCCCCACCTCTCGGTTGTTCAGATGGAGATTCACCGAGCAAAGATCTTGGTTTTGGTATCTGGTGTGTTCAAACAGCACAGGAAGCTCCTAAATAACACGTTCGCTCCGTAAAGGTCAGTAAAAATCCAACCCAACTTTCATTCTCTCTGCGCAGGTGCAGAAGACACGTTCTTGGAAATACATGCAAATAATCCCAACACTTTGTGACATTAAAGTGCTTTAAAGGAGCTGAGGTGACTCATGCATCTTCATGATTCATCTCACAGAAGAGAAATGACTGAACTGTAGATCAAAACTCCCCTGTGTCAAGGTTAATGTTTATTTCTGTTTGCCAAGAAAAATGGGACAGAATTTCTTTTACTGACGATTATTGTGCCTTTAAACAATACAGAGAGCCGACAGGAACCAAAGGCCAATCAGAGAGGAAGAATTCGTGACAGGTTTGAACGTCGACTCATGAACATGAAGCGGAACTGATCAGTCACGATAACACCGATACGTTTTCAGGAAAAAAGGGGAAGTTTGAGAAAAGTAAGGAGGTGGAGGACAGGGTGGGAGGACAGGTGCTCTCCAAAAAATACATCACATCATGACAAGAGAACAAGGTGTGGAAACATTGAGGCAACAACTTCAAACATCTACCAGGAAGTTAAAGCTTGATTGGTGGATGGATCCTTTAGAAACCGATAAATCTGCAGCAGGTGAAACATCATCATGTCTCCACTGGGTTACATCAGACAGACGATCTGTGAAAAGATCGATCTCCTGTCTGAGCTTCCGACTGATAAAATGCACCAATCAGAGCCAGGAGGCGGGTGTTAACGCTGCCAATCAATGCTGCTCAATGTGGCAGAGCAACAACTCACGTTCCAGGAAAACTGTATCACCGTCACTGTGGCTACACTAACTAGCAATAGCATTCATGACAGGCTATACTGTAGCCTGTCACGTAGCTATCAGCTGTAGCATAGAAGAGACTGAGGAGGAGCAGATGAGCATGGGAGTGATTGACAGCGCGAAGACCCGCCTCCTGGCTCTGATTGGTTGTTTCTGACTGGGTGTATTTCTGTTGTTAGACCTGGGAGAAGGAACAGGAGGTCATTTTTTCACAGAAATATCTTCTAACACTGCCAGGAAATAATCATTTTAACAATATGTAAAAACATTTCTTCATAAAAGTTCCATTCTGCAGCATTAAGTCCATTTGTTGGAGTCACCATCACAACCATTGTGTTTGCGTCTTCCTCCTGCTCCAGCTAGACCGGTTCTGTCAGGAACGGACCAGTAAACGGTTTTAAGCTAGTCATATAGTTTAAAAGGTAATGCCACCAGTATCTGTACCAAGTACAGAGAAGAGTAAATCAATAAATAATAAGTTCACGTTCTCATCGTTCTGGCCGTTTGGAAACAGGAGTTTTCACCAAACAGCTGAAAGTTTGAGTGTATGTAAATATGAGTATGTAAAC